CATTATTATTTAAACAGTGACATCTGGCCTTTTCAAAAAGTAGGCAACGGCAGGTTTCTACCTCAAGCAGAGCTTGGAAAAGTTTCCTTTTTGGGCACTGTAATTCCCAGAATAGCCCAGCCAGTATATATATATATATATATATAAAATAAAACTACAAAAATGGAAATCCATTAACATCAAAAACCCACCAAACAGTGATACCTTTATTAGAAGAATCAAAATGCACAATATACATGTTGCAAGCTTTCAAGGCCATCAATAAAAGTATCACTGTTTGGTGGATTTTTGATGTGATTCGATTTAATATATGGTCCACATGGCTACCCCTGAATGTTTTCAGTACTACAAAATGTAGTGAGACTCAAAACCGAATTTCCTACCTTTACAATGATTTATCATCTGATGTTGATGTTACTGTCACGTCAATTCAGGTTGAAAGGTTTTTAAAATATTAACTTACAAAAGTAATAAGAGTGAGGAGAAGAACACAAGCACATAAGTGCTTAACAAGATGCAACCATGGAAAGAAGCAAGAATGGATAACCATTCTACGGACCTTATCATACAGAGGCAAATTGTGTAAATCCCGTGCAGAAATGGGATTTAAAAATCCGAAAAAATCCCACAAAAGTGAGGTTTTTCCCCAGACGTTGTTTGTCTAAAGGAGAAATAGCGCAACATTAACCCAAACGGAAAGTTGCCAAAACCTGTTCCTTTTACTTTCGGAAGTTCCCAAAAGTAAAAAGGAGCGGGTTTTGGTGACTTTCTGTTTGGATTAATGTTGCGTTATTTTTCCTTGACACCAACGTCGTGTGAAAAACAACCCGCTTTTGCGGGTTACTTCTACTTTCTGTTCAGGTTAACCCTAAATGTCATGTGAAAAACAACCCGCTTTTGCGGGTTGTTTTCACTTTCAATCCAGTTTCTGCACAGGATCCGTCCCGTGTGATAATTTGGCTCTTGCACGCTACAAAGCTAAGAAGAATCAGGGACTGTAGGCTGCGAGTGCAGAAGGTATTGCGATCTCTCCATTGCCATCATTATTTGCCTAAACCCATCATCAAAGTGCAACCAGACAGCATCCCGTTGCCCCAAAGACTTTCCATCACTTTTTCGTTGATATGGTATGCCTTCCAAATCGCTTCCGACTTATGGTGACCCCAAAGTGAACCTTTATCACAGAGTTTCTTGGCAAGTTTCATCAGAGGGGATTTGCCATTCCCATCCTCTGAGGCTGAGAGAGTGTGACTTGCCTAAGGTCACCCAGGGCGTTTTCATGGCTGAGCTGGGATTTAAACCCTGGTCTCCAGAGTCCTTGTCTAACACTCTAACCACTCTACACCCAAAGAATATGGCACTGGGAGCCAATCTAAAGCGGCACTTCCGAAATACAATCACACAAGCAAGTTTACTAGATATTGTTTTCTTTTGCATCACTGGGAAATGGAAATACTCCATTCAGAGATGGGAATAACAGTTGGAAAGATACATAAGACCAATTCTGATTTCCTTTGTTTTTTTGTATCTGATTTGTTTTAATAATTGTACATTATTTCTTTATATATTTTATATTATATTATTTTTATATTGGTCCATGACCAAAATAAATTTGTATGTATGTAACTACATAAGACTCACCCTTTGAGCTTCTGATTTGGCCGTTCTATTCCCACTATCCAAAGCAAGGCAGAATAAAAATTCATGTAAAGCTTCTTCCGTTTTCCCAAGGTTAGCAAGGGCTTGTCCCTTCCGTAAATGACCCTGTTAGAAAAGCAAAAGGGACATCACTGTCTTTTCCTAGAAGCGCCTACCGATATCTATGATAGTTCCTTTCACATAATGAGAATGCAAATAATTACCTTTTAAAAGAAACCTTGTGACCATAATAGGAACTAATTGCGGGTACAGAGGTGCAATTACTTGTTAAAGTAACTTTTCAAGTTGTTGTGTGCCTTCAAGATAGTTCCAATTGGGGTGGCAGTTGGGCGAGTCACACTCTCTCAGCCTCAGAAAAGGGCAAAGGCAGATGACTGCACCAGGTGGCACCCTAAAAAGAGAGTGACACCACTTCTCCCCAAACATCTACCTTTGGGGAGAACTAGGCTGTGATGTTTGCCAATTTAAAATTAAATAAAT